CCCTCCTCCTGCTCTCTTTCCGTTCTTGCCTTGCCCAGGAACGTCCCCAACGCTCTGCAGACGTGCCCCTGCTCTCTTTCCGTGGGACAAATGTTCAGGCCAAAGACTAAAGTGTAAGCTCCTTAAGTAGATCTTTTAAGATCAACGTGCTCTCGTTAGCAGTGAAGCCCTCTGAAAAGGCCTCTATAAATACTCCAGGACCTGCTGTGGAGAAGCATTTTCAGAGCAGAATGGGAAACGACTCAGACAGTATAAAACACTTCCACACAACGACAAAGCTCTTGTTTTGCACTACGCTACGAGCCTGCTCACTCCACCTCATTTCAGACACAATTTTTAAGTCGCAAACCCAGGGTCAGAGAGATTTTTGATCCCAGGTATATCCCTTCCTCAAGCTAATCAGCTTTTGAAAGAGATAACAAGAAAACAGATAAGCAATCGGCATCCCTGACAGCCCAGATACTTCCCCAGGAAGATAAATTCATTTCAAACCTTGAGCAAGGTTTGATGTTAGGAATGGCCAAGCCAAGTAAACGAGGAGAGTAACCAAGTGTCCAAATTCCCCTGCGTGTCGGGCTGACAGACCTGGAGCCAGGAACAGGGCAGGGCACACAACCACCAACCTTCCAAACTCTCCTGAGCGTCTGGAGACAGACCCCCGTTCTGCAGCTGGTCATGGAGAAACTGGATGATGGAGAAGGCAAGGCGCTTCTGGTCTGCCATTCCGGGAGGCTGGGAGCAGCGTGTTTCAGTCTCTGGTAACTTTAAAAAAATCTCTGTAAAGAGAGAAGTTATATGACTTGATGAAGATGAGGTCAAAGAGCTTTCCTGCTGCTTTCCCCCAGCTGTTCAGGACTGGCCAAGGCCTCCAGAGCCCTCGCTAAACCCTCTGCTGTAACCACGACCCCCTTTACATGAACTCTGGGCCTCAGTTCACCCTCTTCAGCATGAGCTGCACAGCACAGTCCTGCCACACAAGGCTCCTGCCAAGGGAAATACATTGGGGGTGTTACAGGGACTGTGGCTGCCAAAATATCTCTGACTGACCAGGCCTAGACAAACCCAGCACTGAGCAGTTCACCATCAAGAACCCAGAGTCCTCTGCTTCTAGAGCAGAATTTGATTCTGAAACAAAAACAAGGGCTGAAGCACTGTTAACAGAGCTGGGGCTTGGGGCTGCCCATCCCCTGCACTGCTTGCTAGCCGACCCTGCTGGGATGCTGCCAGGGAGGGAGAGCGAGGACCCAAAGCAAGGAACCCCCAGAAGCACCCCCCAAGGCTGGGGCTCCCCAGAGACCCCAGGCA